AAGAACTTCTAAGATCAATCCCATTCACAATAGCTACAAAAACAATCAAATACCTTGGAATAAACTTAACCAAGGACGTTCAAGATCTCTACGATGAAAATTACAAAACCTTAAAGAAAGAAATAGAAGAGGATACCAAGAAATGGAAAAATCTTCCATGCTCATGGATTGGAAGAATCAACATCATCAAAATGTCCATTCTCCCAAAAGCAATTTATAGATTCAATGCAATCCCAATCAAGATACCAAAGACCTTCTTCTCAGATCTGGACAAAATGGTGCTGAAATTTATATGGAGGCACAAGAGACCTCGAACAGCTAAAGCAATCTTGTACAACAAAAACAAAGCCGGAGGCATCACAATACCAGATTTCAGGACATACTACAGGGCAGTTGTAATCAAAACAGCATGGTACTGGTACAGAAACAGATGGATAGACCAATGGAACAGAATTGAAACACCAGAAATCAACCCAAACATCTATAGCCAACTTATATTTGATCAAGGATCTAAAACTAATTCCTGGAGCAAGGACAGTCTATTCAATAAATGGTGCTGGGAAAATTGGATTTCCACGTGCAGAAGCATGAAGCAAGACCCCTACCTTACACCTTACACAAAAATCCACTCAACATGGATTAAAGACCTAAATCTATGACCTGAAACCATCAAGTTACTAGAGAACATTGGAGAAACCCTTCAAGATATTGGCACAGGCAAAGAATTTCTGGAAAAGACCCGGGAGGCACAGGCAGTCAAAGCCAAAATCAACTATTGGGATTGCATCAAATTGAGAAGTTTCTGTACTGCAAAAGAAATAGTCAGGAGAGTGAAGAGACAACCGACAGAATGGGAAAAAATATTTGCAAACTATGCAACAGATAAAGGGTTGGTAACCAGAATCTACAAAGAAATCAAGAAACTCCACAAAAACAAAACCCACAACCCAATTAAGAGATGGGCCAAGGACCTCAATAGACATTTTTCAAAAGAGGAAATCCAAATGGCCAACAGGCACATGAAAAAATGTTCAAGGTCAGTAGCAATCAGGGAAATGCAAATCAAAACCACAATGAGGTTTCACCTCACCCCGGTTAGAATGGCTCACATGCAGAAATCTACCAACAACAGATGCTGGCGAGGATGTGGGGGAAAAGGGACACTAACCCACTGTTGGTGGGAATGCAAACTGGTCAAGCCACTATGGAAGTCAGTCTGGAGATTCCTCAGAAACCTGAAGATAACCCTACCGTTCGACCCAGCCATCCCACTCCTTGGAATTTACCCAAAGGAATTTAAATTGGCAAACAAAAAAGCAGTCTGCATCCTAATGTTTATTGCAGCTCAAATTATATTATGTAGGGAACATACTCCAATACAATCAAGGCAATATATGACAAACTCACAGGCAGCATCATAGAGAATGGGGAAATGTTGGAAGCATTTCTACTAAGATCCAGAACCAGACAATGTGCTCACCCTCATCATTACTAATCAGTATACTTATGGAAGCTTTAGCAAGAACCATTAAGAAAAAAAATTATGTTTCCAGGTGATATGATCCCATACATAGGAGGACCAAATGACTCCACTAAGACTCTTGAAACTCAAAAGAGAGTTTGGTAAAGTTGTAGGATATAAAATCAACACACAAAAATCAGTAGCATTTGCATACAGAAAGAGAGCTATGCCTGATAAATAACTTGTAAGATTAGTCTCATTCACAACAAGTACAAAAAAATCTTAATTGGGAAATTTTGACCAAGGATGTAAAAAATCTCTATAATGAAAACTTAAAAGTAGATTCCAAAATGGCTGAATAGGGAAAAGACCTGATGACTTTGACCAGGAGAAAATAACAGAAGAAAAGCGAAGAAAGTGCTTTCCCAGGGGAGATTTGGAGAACAGCTTGCAGTGAGAATTCTGCAGAAAGAAGAGACTATGGTGCAGCATGGAAAGGACTGATACTCAGCAGCAAACAGGGACACCATAGACAACTCTTGCTCCTGAGGGCTGGTGAGACGCCAGCTTCTGAGAGTGCAGTGAGAGCAGACTGTTGCAATCCATGTCACTGATGATACTGCCTGAAGGAGAATCTTAGGAACAAAGTGACTTTTATTCCAGCCTGAAGCCCTAGCAGGAGGTAGGATACCCATCTAATCTAGTGAAGGAAAAGGACATTTCCTTCCCCTTCCCAAATGGCACTCGGCAACCATTAGGGAAAAAATGCCATCTTAAAACTCCAGTTGAATAAGAGAGGGAAGAGATGTATAATTTGGGACATGCTCGGGCTGACTTGCCCCAAATGGTAGAGTTGGAAATATACCAGGGGATTCCAATTCAATCCCATCAAGGTGGCATGTACCAATGCCATCTCACTATTCCAAGTGATCAATTTCAGTTCACAATTGATCATAATGAAAGGACTAAGAGTCAAAGGGAGCACATAAACATGTCTAGTACCTGCTAACACTAACCGATAGAATAAATAAAGGGGAGAGTGATCCAACATGGGAGGTGAGATACTCAGCAGACTCATAGAATGGCAGATGTCCTAAATAGCACTCTGGCCTCAGAATCAGCCCTAAAGGCATTCAGATCTGGCTGAAAAGCCCATGAGAGTATTTCAGGCATGGAAAGCCAAGACACTCTGGCAAAAGATCTCTGTGAGTGAGATCCCAGTGGAAAGAACAGGTCTTCAAAGAAGGAGGTACTTTCTCTGAAGGGAGGAGAGAACCTCCACTTTGACTATGACCTTGTCTAAACAAGATAAGAGTCGGAGAACTCAGAGGGCTTCCATAGCCTTGGAAACTCATGACTGGAGCATAGGGAGATTACTGATGCCATAGACAGGAGTGTCAATTGGTAAAGTCAACAACAGGAGTCACTGTGCACTTACTCCTCATGTAGGATCTCTGTCCTTAATGTGCTGTGCATTGAGATTTAATGCTATAATGAGTACTCAAACAATATATTTCACTTTGTGTTTCTATGGGGGTGCAAACTGTTGAAATCTTTACTTAATGCATACTAAACTGATCCTCTATAAAAAAAAAAAGAAACTATCAACTCCCAACTTGACTCTCACTGGGATTAAACATGACAATAGGTCTGCTCTGATTTCATCATCATTTAAAAAAAATCATCTATTATTTTTCACTTTATGTTTCTGTGTGGGAGCAAACTGTTGAAATCCTTACTTCATGTATGCTAGGCTGATCTTCTGTATGTTAAGATAATCGAAAATGAATCTTGATGTGAATGGAAGGGGAGAGGGAGTGGGAAGGGGGAGGGTTGTGGGTGGGAGGGATGGTGTGGGGGGGAAGCCATTGTAATCCATAAAAAAAAAAAAAACTCCAGTTGAATAAGAGAATAAGGAGGAAGAGTGATGGAGTGCAGGTGGGAGGGCAGGCATAGTGGGAAGAATCACCATGTTCCTAAAGTTGTAACTATGAAATGTTTGAAGTTTGTAACTGTAAAGCTGTATAGTTCTGTATACAATCCTACAGACTTACTGCTAAGGTACAGTTTAAAGACTTGCCATGGGACCCCAAATCCTTTAAGCTGGGTGTAAAAATAGCATTTTAATTGTTAAAGTGATTATATGGGGGCTGGTGCTGTGGTGCAGTGGGAAAAGCCCCGGCCTGCAGTGCTGGCATACCATATGGGCACCACTTCAAGTCATAGCTAACCCATTTTCAATTTAGCTCTCTGCCATGGCCTGGGAAAGCAGTAGAAGATGGCCCAAGTCCTTGGGCCCCTGCACCCATGTAGGAGACCTGAAAGAAGCTCCTAGCTCTTGGCTTTGGATCAGCTCATCTCTAGCCATTATGGTCATTTGGGGAATGAAACAGCAGATGGAAGACCTCTATTTCTGGCTCTGCCTCTCTCTGTAACTCTGTCTTTCAAATAAGTAAAATGGGACTGCTGCTGTGGCATAATGGATAAAGCTGCCGCCAGCAGTGCAAGCATCCTATATAGGTGCTGGTTCATCCCAGCTGCTCCACTTCCAGTCCAGCTCTCTGCTATGGCCGGGAAAAGCAGTGGAAGATGGATCAAGTGCTTAGGCCCCTGCACTGGCATAGGAGAACTGGAAGAAGCTCTGGGCTCCTGGCTTTGGATCAGCGCAGCTCCAACCATTGTGGCCATCTGGGGAGTAGTGATCCAGTTTATGGAAGACTTCTCTCTCTTTCTCTCTGCCTCTGCCTCTCTGCAGCTCTGTCTTTCAAATAAATAAATAAATCATAATAAATAAATAAAATCTTTAATAAAATAAATAAAGTGATCCTATGGATAGGATTAAGTGTTAAAGTGATGATATAAATAGTATTAAGCATTTGATAATATTAATAGGTAGAATTAAAAAAGAGTGAATGCTCCAACATGCTAAGCAGTCCACATAGCAGGCTTATAGGATGACAATCACTTTAAACTGCACTCTGCCCTCAGAATCAGCTCTTAAGGCATTCTGGTCTTGCTGAAAAGCCCATGAGAGCATTTCAGACCTGGAAAGCCATGACACTGTGGCAAAAATGTCCTACATAAAAAGGACCTCTGTGAGTGAGACCATAGTGGAGATTAGTGCTCATCAAAGAAAGAGATATTCTTCCCTGAAGGGAGGGGTGGATTCCCACTTTGCTTATGGCCTTGTCTAAATACTGAAGGACTTTGTGAATTCAAAAGGCTTCCATATCCTAGGCAGCTCATGTCAAGAGACTTGGATGATAACTAACATCATACATAAGAGTGTTAATTGTTAGATTAACAACAGGAGTCACTGTGCACTAACTTCCCAGGTAGGACCTCTGTCCTCATCCTATCACAGGTTCCATGGCTCGAACTGCCAAAGTGGAGCACACACAGACAGCTTGCTCTGGGACTAACTCTGCTCCCCCATGGACAGGACAGGCTTGTGGGCCTCATAATGGATCCTTTGTACCCCATGATTCTGGGAGCCTTGCATGCTGGGACTATGAGAATTCTGTGAGTTCACAATAGGATGTGGGATGTAACTGGTTTTCTGGGTAATCCCTATGTCCAGCTTCAGAAGCTAAGAGCTTACTGACTGCCTTGGTTGGGTGATTGCAGAGTGTTCCATGCTCACACAGATCCTTTGTATGGTTCATGTGCCGGCATGGGTTGGGGTTGTACCCACTGTTGGCTAATTCCAGACATTGATCATCTTGGAAGAGAAGAGGTGAGGTTTATATTCATAAACTATTTTAGTAATTTAGGATGATTGATACAGGTGACTTATTTTCTCCATTGGATACTGCACAAATTTTTGAGAAATTAGATTATATATTCATATGAATTATAAATTCATGCACTTCTAAAGGCCTGGCTTACCCAGATAAAGTCTAGTATTATTTAGAAATAGGGCATTTTTTAAAGATTTATTTTATCTTATCTGAAAGTCAGAATTACAGAGAGAGAGAGAGAGAGAGAGAGAGAGGTTGGGGGGGAGGGAAGAGAAACAGATGGCCAAAACAGCTCGGGCTAGGTGGAACTGAAGCCAGGAGCCAAGAGCTTCTTCCTTGTCTCTCACATCTGTAGGATGGCCCAAGAACTTTGACCATCTTTGGCTGGTTTTCCCAGACCATTAGCAGGAAGCTGGGTTAGAATTGGAGCAGTCAGGACATGAAACAGTGCCTATATGGGATGACAAGATTGTAGGCAGTGGCTTTGCCCTCTGCACCACAAGACCAACCCTGAAATAATGCTTTTTTATATCTTGTACAAATTCCAGCTCAACTCAGAAAGGCAAATGCGAATGTGAAGTGAGGATTTTATTGTTCATGGGTAAGGCTTCTGATATATTCTCCTTAGTTTGATAACAAAGGAATTCGGTGCTGACTATTGAACTGCTAAATGAACAAATACCATTTTCATTTCCTCTGCAATTTAGGGATTTCAGTAATAATCAGAGCAAAGTTGCAATGGCCCTTGAAAAGGTCCAGATGTGCTTTTCAGTCATGAATTTTTCTTCCTGAATTCTGGAGGTAGAGATCTTTATTGAGAAAAGCATATCATAGTTAGGATTTTAAGTAAGTCAATCTAGAGAAAAAATAAAAAGTAAAATAAAACATGTTTTTCTATGTTATTTTATACTTAATAGCTGAAATTTCATGAAAATAATTGATTTTTGCCTTAATATGATTTCCTAAATATAATATATATACACACACATACATATAAACTCTTTATCTCTATCTTTGTCTCATTTTTCTATCTATATCATCTTTATCTCTATCTGTATCCCTATCCTTATCTCTGTATCTGTCTGTCTGTCTATCCATCCATCCATCCATCTATCTATCTCTGGTATGAAAGCCCAAATAAACTGTACATCTATATTCTTTCATTCTACAATTTTAAAGAAATAATCCAGGTAAAATATTTCTTTGAAAAGAAATGCTTGGCAAGTTCCAGGACCTTCCAGTTCTTTCTTTCTGTCTGATTTTCTTTCTCAGCTCATCTTCTGTGTAGCTATTTGCTCTGGTGATCATTTGAGATTCAGCTCAGTGTGGCCCATTTACTGCCAGCTAATCAGCCATCCCATGAATATCAAGTAAATATCTCTTTATACACACATTATCAAATATTTACTTAACTGCTGCACCATATGCCTTCCCAATATTATTTATTAGTACTGAATATTAGTAAAGAACTAACCCCCCATTTTTTTAAGAAATGAAGCAAAGCAAGGCCCATGAAACCTGCCCTAAATACTTTTTACCTGTGCATTTTAATTTCTTTCAAACATATTTCTGAGGATAAGGATTTTACATTCATCACAAATTTCAGCAAATTTTATACCATTTGGTATCATTGAAAAGGAATTGTTATCTTGTTCTTCCATTGTAACACCTACTAAAGAACAGCTACTTATTTTATTAATGTTAGAGTTAAAATATTGTGTGTTATTTGGCATTAATTTCACAACCTAAATTCACAAATTTATTTTCTTTAGGATATTTCCCTTATATAAACCAATCATATTATGTATAACTCAGCAGATGAATTTATATTTGTATAAATATATGTATATTTATATAATTTCAACATAAGTATATAATATGTATTATTTTAACCCAAAGATAATGTTTCTTTCATTTGAAATCTACATTTTAGTTGCTTGTTTGAAAAAATCATTCTAAGAAAATGTAATCATGACATTCAATAAAGACTGCTGATTTATCTTAAGTGATAAAATATTAATTTCAAGCTTTTTAGAATCTTGATACCTTTAGTTTTTTTTATTTTTTATTTAAACTCAAAATCAGGAAATGTAGTATTTTCATTAAAAAATGTTCTCAGTGTTACCAACTTGGTATGCTTTTGAAGTGCTCCTCTGCGTGTCTGCAGACTGCTAGGTATTACTCACCAGTCTTTCCCATTTGTCTCTCACAGGTAGTAGCACCTTGGCAAGGGATTTCAAACTAAAGGACAAAAAATGAAGTCTTACATTGCAAGTGATCTTGAATAAGTCATAACATGTAGCCAATAAGGTTTACAGATTTTGACGTCAAAAGACCTCTATTTCTCCCTTTTAATACTATTTTAATGTTGGGGAGATGAAGATGCATCTTATTTTAACCTTACAATTTTTAGCCTTAAAACTATCCCCTCAACTTTTTTTGGTGACATCCTGTGTTCTTTTAAATGGCTCACACAGGCATGCATTGAAGAACCAGTCCAATTTGTGGCTGAATTCTCCAGAAGAATATCTTCATTTTCATTTGTTTCTTGTAGAGATGACTTAGTTGAAAACTGGAAGTTTATTTAGCATATTATTTGTACTTAGGTTTTGAAGAGCTCTTCCTCAGGAAATCCAAATGATTGTAAAAGCAAAGACATTCTTTGTATGTCAAGAAAAAGAGAAGCCAGTAAACAATTTTTGGTAATTAGGAAACAGGTACTTTTACATTTACAAATTCATTTTCACTCCTTTCAAATCAGCATCCAAGGGGGAAAATACTCAAACTTTTTTTATAAAAGATTATTTGTTTCAAAGGCAGAGTTAATGGGGGGAGGAAGAGTTAGGGGAGAGAGAAAAAACTTCCATTTACTGGTTCACTCCCCATATGTCCACCAAGGCCAAAGCTGGGCCAGGCCAAAGCTAAGAGTCAGTAGCTTGATACTGGTCACTCATGTGTGTTGCAAGGATCCAAGAATTTGGGGCATCCTGTGCTTCTTTCCTAGGTGCATTGGAAAGGAGCTGGATCAAAAGAACAGCTGAGATTTGAACCAGCACCTATTTGAGATGTTGGCATCATAGGTGGCAGCTTAACCCACTGCACCACAATGCCAGTCCCAAAAGAAACTTTCTAAATAAGAATTAAAACTTTTAAAAAGACACTCAACTACAAAACTAAGGATAGTAAAACATTTCCCAAATTTTGATATCTCTACAACTCTTAAGGATTGATAAAAATTCTCTCCACAAAAGCAGAACATACTGTATTGTCCTTATGCTTGAATGCCTTCAGTGCCTCTTTGTTGAATATTTTCTTGTGAAGTATAAAATTAATAACAGCCTATTATATGGTGGAAATAATTTGATTTTGATATATTTTAAAGTTCTTCAAATGAGTTATATACAATTTATAGAAAAAGAGAGAGAACGAGTGACAGAGGAAGAAGAAAGAGAACACTGTGTGAGTTGCTTTTGTGACAGTGTATCTTGGTGATTTTTCTTGACAATGCATATGTACGTATCTTATTGGTTTTGCAATCCCTAGTATGAATTTATCAAAACAGCTTTAGTCACTAATATTATTAATGAACAATAAACTGTTCTTATTTATGTGTTATTATTTAAAATACTATGGCAATAAATTTGCTTCTGTTGAACAATAGCACATTCCTTAGGCTTCCATCCAATTTTTTCATGCTTACCATTGTACCATTTCCCACATTCACTTAAGCACACCAAGTGTTCTATCATTGCATCATGGTTTAATCACTATCATTGAACACATAATATTATCTTAACTCATTGCTTATACTAAATATTCAGTCCATCTGGATTTACCTTTCTGATGTGACTTTCTACTTTTACTAAAATTGTGTGCATTTGTCAGGTTCTGTTTCTTCAGTTCAGAAGTGATTGCTTCCTCTTCTGTAACATATGTGTACCATATATAGCTCAGTTATAGGACATGACTTATGTTAATGTTCATAAATAGATTATTTTGCCTATTAACTCCAGATATTTTGGGGGCATCTGATGATCTCTTGAGTTTTTAGTATAACTGAATAGTTTCTACTCATGGAGGTGGTCTAAGTCCTAAAAAAAGGAAGAAGATATCAACTTACTGGTTTCCTTCTTAGGTATAAGTAACATTCAAAATTCTTGAAAAAGTGAAACATGGAGACATCAACAAGTCAATATTTATTTCAACCATGGTGTTGGGCTAAGTTCCTGCAGCCCCTGTTCAGGGGGAGATGTTTTTCTTTATTGGCTTTATTTTCTTTATTGGAGAGACAAATTCTGTGGCAGTATTTGGCCGCTGTGATCTTTGGGAAGAAAATTGAGGACTCAAGATACAGATCACACTGTAACAAAACCAGTATGGAATTTCTTCAAAGCTTTAGTAATAGGTTATACAGGTGAAAAATGTGAGAATGTCAGTCCTATTTTTTTGTGAAACTATCACCATTAATAGGAAACGGTGGATGCACATGATGAGAGATGAGACAGATTATTTAAGTTGCTTGTTGAAACACCAATAGGAATTTATTATTAAATAAGGAGAATGAAGAGTGGGATACTGCTGTGCATTCTAAGTCAAAAACCATTGAGTAAAGTAGTCTGGAATTCTTGAGAGAAATAATAGAAACTTCAATTTAGCTCAGTGTGAGGAGAGTTAGAGGTTCATGGAAGAACAAATAGATTGTATGTCATAAAAGAGAATTTGGACTTCAGCCTATGAATGTGGACCCCTCAGAGTTTCCTAAATCTGTGAATTAATTGGGTGGATCTGTATTTCGGAAAGAACACAAAGAAGGTGTACATGCAGTCCAGAGACTTTATGTGAGCTAAGAGTGTCACGCTAAATATTTACAATTAATCAAATAAGCGGTGCTGAGTGTCTGAGTTTGGGGAATCCCACAGAAGTCACAAAAGAGTTACAGAGCACCGCTAACCCAAAAATAAAGAAAAAAAGCAAAACCAAAATGGAGTTACTTGCGCTAAGGCCACTAAGTACCAGGAACTGCCCAGACACAGGTGCTAAGGCCTGATAAGGACTGGGGGACATTACATCCTAAGAAGAAGCCAACCAGCTGGCTACTGCATTACTTCATCCTTACTACATATGGCACCATGATTGGCCACACCCAGAAGACCTCTAAAACATTGGTGACACCTTAGGCACCAACATCTGGTTGGTGACACCTCAAAGGATGAGCTTGTGGTTGGTGACACACAAGGACACCTTCACCCCCACCTACCCCAGAGCAGGGATAAAGAGGCAAACTTCACAATTGCTCTTCAGCTTCTCGGGGATCATGCTCAGTGCAAGTGAAAGTGCTGGAGTCTCCACTGACTGAAGCTCTGCTCGCCACCCTGCTGGAGCCCACCTCACCCGGACCTCTTTTCAGCCTGCTGCCAGACCTGACCTCGAAGCAGGACCAGACCTCTCATCAGGGGCTGCCAGACCTGACCTCAAAGCAGAACCACACCTCTCATCAGGGGCTGCCAGACCTGACCTCGAAGCAGGACCACACCTCTCATCAGGGGACCTCTCTAACTCCTTGCCTTGACGTCCGCCTGGGAACTTCGAGCCTACTGCCCA